TTGGAAGCTACTGTGAACCATGCATTTTGCCTCTTCTCTTACGGAGGATTTTAAATAACAAATTTAAGAAGTAAGATATTCAATCAATTAGTTCAACAAAAAGCTATGAAAAAATTGGAACTTGAAACTCTCCTGACAATATTTTAGGCTCTCTAATTTGTTAATCTTACATCATATTTGCTTTATAGCTCATTATATATTAAATTTTGGTTCATAAAAATAGTACCTTGTTCTTCTTTTAAGAATTCCTATTTCCTTTTGAAATGCCTTTCTAGACTTATAACAAATATTTTTTTATTTTTACCTTGTGTTCGAGCTCTTCCTCATTTATGTTTCTGTTAATTATCTGTCACTTCATTTTGAGTACTCCTCATTTGTACATTTACATTACATAATTATTAAATTGTTTGTAGTATATGAATTGTAGGTATATAATACCAACTTTTAGCAATAAGGCTGTCATATTATCTTGTAATGCTTCTAAGGCCCTCAGGGTGGATGCTAAGTTCGATTGAATTTTCAATAATCTGCTCTGATATCTTAATTGTTGATAATTATTTAATACAATTTACGACTTATAATGTAAATTTTGTCTCTTAAATACGAGTTTGTAGATGCTGTCGTTGTACTTTAATATAATTTGGTCGTCACACCTCTGTTTCTTCAAAATTGTTATTATACCCTGATCCCATTGAAAATGGGAAATCAGGGTATAATGGTTTTGTGCAAATGTATGTTACAGGCAGAAGGAGGCGTGGCAGACCCCATAAAGTATATATATTCTTGATCAGGACGACAAGCCGAGTCGATTGAGCCCTGTCCGTCCGTCCGTCTGTCTGTATGTGTGAACGCGTGGATCTCAGCATCTATAAGAGCTAGAGACTTTTTGTAGGTCCGTGTATAGCACGCGCAGGTCAAGTTTGTTTCAAAAATTCGATAACAATTTGCATTTAATTGTTATCGAATAAAAACATAAATGAATTGCAGTTAATAAATTATATCTCGAACGCCTTAAGAGCTAGAGCCTCCAAATTTTGTATTGTATATATTTTATATATATTGTATTTATTTTTTATATATTTTATGCAATTTTGATTTTTGTTGGATTTTGGATACCGGCTCCAAATTTCCCCAAATTCTTAAAATTTAAGTTTAGTTGGAACTAGGGCCATTATGTGACGGCGTTTGCATCTTAACCAAGCCAATAGAATATGTAGATCATATGCTGAAAATTTCATTAAAATCCATTAAGTAAAACAGAAGTTATTAAACAAAATGTTTGGCCAATTTGCAAAAGCACATGCCAGCAGCGCCACCCGCACGCATTTTTCCTATGCGTGTGCACACATACATCCAAATGCGTGTATTCTTTTCTATTCCAAGAATTGAAGTTGCGCTTGAATTGTGCTGAATTATTAGCTGCTACTTATGTTCAAATTTGCAACTGTTCGCGTAATCAGAGCAGTGGCTGCGTTGGTAGAGGCGGCGCTCGTATGCAGCTCGGTCCGGGGTTCGAGCCCAGTGGAGATGAGACCTTTTTTATTGTTTTATTTTTTTTTTAATTATCTAGTGGCGGTGTTGGTAGAGTTGGTGCACATTGCGCAAATAATCCGGGTTCGAAACCTGGTCTCGCAATGTCGACTTTTATTTGTTTTTTTTTTTTTTTTTTTTGAATACTCGATACAAACTACGGAAAATTTAAGAAAAACTCAGAGGACTGGGATCAGGGTATCTCCTAGTCGGGCACCCCGACTAGAGCTTTCTTACTTGCTTTTTATCTTAGCTTACTAAAATACCCCGACTAGAGCTTTCTTACTTGTTTTTTATCTTAGCCTCATCATTTTTTGGGTGAAGAACAGAGTAATATTTTTGAGTTACAAAGTTCGTTATTTGTTTTTTTTTTTTTCACTGTTATCAGAACACTGCTACTGTAAAACCTTTATCATGTTTCACGAAGTTAACTCATTTTAGATGATTTAATTCGGACTATTAATTGCTACTGCTACTTTAAAACCTTTATCATGTTTCACGAAGTTAACTCATTTTAGATGATTTAATTCGGACTATTAATTGTTTGTTCAAATAACATAACCGTCGATATTTTCGTTATTTTAGTAAATTTAAGTCGCAAAGATACTGGACAAAGACTTTATTACGCATGGAAAAGCAACGGAAGTATTAGTCTCTTAACAGAATCGGACAATAATTATATCTATACATATTGCGGCGTGGCGAATTGGGAAAAACTGTATATCTACAGTTTTACATTGACAAACTTAAAATTTAACGACCAACAAATACTATATTTTAAATCGTTTTTAAGTTCACCTACTGCTTTAACCAATAAAGATTAAATTATTTTAAAAATTTACTACGCTCGAATAAATTCGGTGGAATACCACAGAATTGGGGTTTCACCAAGGCCTTGGATTTTTGGATGTCTGTTTTATTTTGCCTTAGTACAGGTTTTGCAATTTGCAACTATCTCTTTGACCAATTTGGTAATTTTTGGAAAGTAATATTCCTCTAAAATCTATTTAACGTTTTCTTGTACAGCTCAGTCGGCATGATTGTGTTTTGTTTGTACTATCTAACTTCGTTCTGTTTTGTCTGTGACGTCCATAACTCTCTGTTTGCAGTACTAAAACTTTGTTGCTGGAAAGGTTTTCTCCAGCTCATGTTGGATAAATGCAAGCGTGGGCAGGTCGCACTCCCACAATCATTTTTTTTGTAAATGTGGTCACATGGCGGCTTTTTTTGCCAAATGGTGTGAAGTTGCGTCGTAGAGGGAAAGCTGCTTCCGCCAGAACGATTTGATCGGAAATCACTTCCACTTCTTTACCTTGTCATTTGGATTATTGTCCGAAACCAAAAAGGTTAGTGGTGTATGGTCTGTGTATAATAATTGTCCCTTACGCCGCACAGGTAATGTTGTACTTGTCCAGGACCCAAACTTCAGCCAATAGTTCTCTTTCGTGGGTTGCATCTTTGGTCTCTCTATTATCTTGCGATAGAACTGCACCAATTATTAGCTCGAAAAGAGTTTTCTCTTGAGACTATCATGTTGGTATGTTTGGCATTTAGATTTATAGGACAGTGCGTTCATTTGATGTAATTCTTTGCCACGCTCGTGTCGATAAGGAACTTTAGTTAGCCAACAGTCGGTCGAGGAATAGGCGGGAGCGTTCCCTAAAAAATGTAACGGGCTATCATACTGAGACTCACGTTCGTCTTCCATCCCAACACTTAGTTCTTGAGCTACATTATTGCATTCACCCTCATGAAAAAGCACCCCTTGCACAGTATTCTTCACCCGCTGGCAGCTCTGAGCTGCGATTCTTTCGAATGAATCTATCTGCTGCCTGACCTTTGACACTTAAAGGTCAACGTCCATGGACTCTGGCGTCTTGGCATGGCTTTAGTTCTTCTGTGTACCATTGCATTGCCGTGATGTTGTCCCTGTTTCTTATAAAAGGCATTCTTTTCTTGCATTCGTCCTAAAAAAGGATGTTTTTTGGCTGGATTCTATCATAGAACTCTATTAGCGAGTCATTGTTTTGCTTAACTGTCTCTAGGCCCCATCTTAGGATCCATAGAGGTGTTGCATCCACGTATACGTCGTCTAATAAAGCTAGCATGGCAGTGGTGTCTGATAAGACACCAATAGCGACTTTACTGCCACCCCAATTTTGTTTCCCAGTCTCACTACCGCCTGATAATGGAAATAGCTACCGTCGTACGGGCTGAAAAGCTTGTACGATTGTTGTTCTGCCTCTCTCCACTCATCATATCTTGAAAGAGCTGAATTTTTGGTGCTGTAAAGCTTTTGGCACAGCGTTGATTAAAGCCTGCAGCTGATTTGCGTCCATAGTGTTCACGTCACTATTAACATGATTTAAATCCGAGTATGATTCCCACTCTTCTTCAGTATCTAATTCCCTTTTAATTTCCCTAAAAGCTGAGAAGGTTATCAGCTTGTTGGCAAAAAGTAAAAAAAAAACTGGCTAGCAACACTTCGCCATCTCGTAAATCGCGATAGTCTATGTAATTCTTGGCAAATTAAATAAATGTCTCGCAAAAACAACACTTGCCGTTACAATGAACTGATGAGTAGAACAAGCCACTCTAATTTTTCCTTCGGTGTTGGACGTGGAAATCTTTTATATTATTATATTAGTTGAGCGCCAATAATAATGAGCTTCGCGCAGTATGCGATGTACGATGAAATATTGTATGCTCGTAGTCCGAGTTGTGATAGAAGTGATCTTCTTATGAAGATTATAGTGCGATAACGCTGCTCTTGCCTACGGACAAGGGATCGAGTTACCGACTTTGACCACACTATGCGCGCATGTTTAGATTGACAGTAAGATTTTGTTAAATTGTTGTACTCGTTAACTTGTGCACATACATTTAAAGTCCTCCATTTTTTTCTTCTCAAAGAGTCGAAATTACAATTTAATTGTTTTTTGTTTCTATGCGTTAGTAGCATTAGTTGAGATGTATTTAAAAACACAGATCGTTTGATTACAACGTTCTTTCTTGTCTTTAAGATTTTAGTGTTATGTAACGGTAGGAACTTATTAGAGTAAATTGTTCTATTGTGATAATTCTGTTGAAGATTATCTGTATTTGACCTTCAATTTTTGTAAATATTTTAGGATTAGGTGCCTGTATCCAATCCGCAAAGTGAAATATTTCTATGTGAATATCATACATTTTAAGTTGATAGTGAATAAAGATATTTTTTATTAATTTTTGTGTCCATTTTAAATAAGCTTAGAGTTATAAGTAAAGAGTATATGTAATATTATGTACTCGAGAATTCTTTATAAAATAGTTTAGTCATTGATTAAATCTGTGCACTAAACATAATCAACTACCTACTAAGGTGTTACAAGTGCAACCAACTGCTTAATATTTTTACCATTATTTGCAAACAATTAATTTTCGTATATTTAACAATAAAACCCATTTTAATTACTGTTTTTAAAACACAGAAATCTACCCAAACGCGTTTGTCATCGAAGATAAAGATAACAAAATAAATGTGAATAAACTGACTTCAAAGTGTCGTTCTATTATACGCTACTAAATACTTGAAAAATATATACGCTCTTTAATATGCGCGATAAATGTATTTGGAGCTACTTACTTCTTCTTTTATACTACTTATTCAATACCGTTTGTCTGGAATGCATTATAACCGGAAGTTCTGTAGAAGACGATGCAACTTCAAATCGTTACAATACACATTATCAACAGCAGGAAGCAAACGGAAAATTACTCAGCATGCACATAAGAACATCTCCCATGCCTATGGCAACAACTCCAGCACCTTCTGGACCATTGCACATTATGCATGACGTTACTTCACTGTCTAATACGGGAAGTGGAGAAAATGTTCCACACAGCGATCAACAACATCATAGAAGCTCATACAACCTTCTAAGTGAAGCCATGTCACAGGCGGTCAGCAACGAGTACAGTAAGTTTATAATATTGATGCATTTTGGTACAAAAATTGTTTGATCACTTTTTATTTTCAGTATCATAAGTAATAAATTACTTAACCTTTATTTTATATTATTCTACTATTAACCATACTAGAATACATGGAAATTATTTACCAATTTCAAACATGAATTTGAACGGGATTTCCAATACAACTTTATATTTTCTCAAGATCCCGATTCTCAAGGCACGCCTTTGTTTTTCTTACTCTTACTGCTTTCAAAAATATTTCAGTCCTAGTAAAAAATATAATATTATCACTTTCTTCAATTTTTCACAAAAATTTTTTTTTTTTTTTTGAATTTAGAAACTTTAAATACATCATAAATACATCATCTGTTCGTATGGACGCATACCATTTCGATGCTACTCGTGGGTACCTTTGTTGGAAAATTGTGAAATACACTGTCAGAAACACCACAAGTTGAAATGCTTGAGAATTAAAATTTGAAATAAAACTCGTGTTGACATCAGAAGATCAAATATACGAGCGCTAGGGGTGAATACACTTGACTGTAGTCTGTACTCGTACTCGTCTGTGCTCGTCTGAGCTAGAGTTCTTATTCCCAGACTCAAGCGTATTTCATCTCTTAAATCTAGTTTATCAAGTGCTGACTGTGTAAGGGTCAGCGCTCGTATGTCTAATTTTAGAATCTAAGCATGCAATTTGATCTATTCCTATTGCAATCTCTACAAGTGGTTGAGTGCGTAGACGGCTGGTAACAGCTGGTAAAGTTGAATTTTCCAATGATTTAGAGTTAACAAATTTGACATGGGAGTTACGAATCTATACAAATCAATCAATAAATAATATGTCGACGTAAACTATTGGCGTGGCAAATTGGATCTGAATATTTAGTGTTTTGTACAAAATCTGTCATATTTTCACTCTGTTTCTAGAAGGTACGCTTTTTATGTGTACACTTCTCCGTCATGAATGTGTTCTCATGAACTGTTCTCACTACGTCATCCATTGTGTCATCCTCTACCTTTGGCGCTGGCCTAAGTTCCTTATATCAATTCGATATGTTTTCAAAGTCATTTCCCTTGGTTTTCGTTGCTGTGCAATATATCATTCGACAACTCCTTTTTCTGGATGGTGCCACAGTATTCGTCTCGTGCTCTAGACAAATTCCGTTTTTGTGTTCTGCTTGTATTGCTCTCAGGTAACCACTAAATCGATAGTGTATTTCAAGGTTATCTACGTCAATAGAGCGGCTGCATTTTTAATACGATGTATAGTAGTCATAAAGATCCATGGTATTATGCTTATGGTTTTCGTAATATCTGTTTATTTCGTTGGTAACGTGATCAAATTTCAAATGAGGATACTCGCCTCAGTACTCTCATCAAGTGACAGAAATCAAGTAATCATCACCAATGTCTTTTGAAGTCTTAGCATGTTTGGTCGTAAAAATTTCATGTTAGTTAGTTCATATGTTTCAAGCTGAGATGTTTTTGCACGATAAATAAAATAATAGTGAAATAGTAATAAACTGTCGTAATCCATTAATGTTAGTCTTGAAATTTAAAATTTCAATTACTGTGCACCATGTGCAGCCTGGTATACAAAATGACAGCGCTGGGAGAGGCGAGAAACTGAAATACATTTGTATACCCTAATTAAAAAATTTGAAATTAGGTTATAATGGTTTTGTGAAAATGTATATACTAGGCATATAATATTTTGTTTATATAATGCTGTACGTCCGTCAGTATTATGTACGCAGATTATGTCGATCCTATTGAAGCTAGGGACTTGAAACTGCAATATATTCTTGTGGGTACGCTTGTATGATTGTGTTAAGCTTGTCCCGATGCGTCAACTGGGGGCTTGGCAAATTGGGAAATACATCTGGTTTGTCGGAAAAACAACTAGTTAAAGTTCTAAAAATCGATTAAATTTGAAATAGAACTTGTGTTGACATCCCAAGATCAAAATATATAGTGAATTTATCTACGAGCGCTAAGAGTATTCCAAATCGATTAAGACTGGATTTACGATTCTACAAATAAATCAATAAATAATATGTCGACGTAAACTATTGGCGTGGTAAATTGGATCTGAATATTTAGTGTTTTCTACTAAATCTGTCATATTTTTCAGTCTATTTCTAGAAGGTACACTCTCCATGGGATGTGTCCTCCATTATGGATGTGTGTTGCAATTATTGTTCTTACTACGTCATCCAGTGAGTCATTAACATTTGGTGCTGCATTAAGTTCTTCATATCATATCGATTTGTTTTTAAAGCTATTTCCATTGGTTTTCGTTGCTGTGCAAGATAGCATTCGACAGTTCTTTTTTCTGGAATGCTGTCACGGTATTGGTCTAGTTAAATTCTGTTCTTTTTTTCTTCGTGCATTGCTTTCTAATAAGCAGTGAATTGATAGCGTATTTCGAGGTTATCTACGTCACTAGTGCTGCTGCATTTTTAATACGGTGTATATTAGCCAGAAGGCTCCAAGGTCTTATGCTTATATTTTTCGTAATATCAGTATTTCGTAACGTGATCAAATTTCAAATGATAGAATTCAATGAAGCATCAACAATGTAAGTTTTGAAGTCTTGTACACTTTTTGGTCGTAAAACACTTCAAGTTAGTTAATTCATGTGTTTCAACTTAAGATGTTTCAACTAAAGCTAGAGACTTGAAGTTTTAAGTTTCAATTCCCGAACACCATGCGCAGCCTGGTATATAAAATGGTTCGAATCACGGCGAATATATATATATGCAGTACACCCTAAATAAAAAATGGGAAATAAAGGTATAATGGTTTCTAGAAATGTATGTTATACGCAAAAAGAAGCGTTTCATACCCCATAAATTATATATATTCTGGGTCAGAATGACGAAAGAATTGAAATTTGAAAAGTATAAGTTAACACAACGAAGGCTAATCAGGCCAACCGGATGCGTGTGCAACAAAGTCGCACAGAAGTCACTGACGCGAATGTAAGCTGATGCACCGTGACGAGCCAGTGAGGAATGTCACGAAGCGCGTGGTCAGTATTCTATTGGGAACGCCGTCGGCATCGCTGCCGAAGTCGATAGCTTAGGTTATGATTAGATAATTATGTTTAAGTTAGTTTTTACATAAGTTTTCGAAGTTAATGAAATACATTTATATTTTGCATAATTGGCGCCCAACGGCTTAATAAAACTCCGTAACAACTCCTGTTAACACCGCGAGTATAGTTTCGTCAAAAATTAAAACACTCCCGCCTTCGCCGCGTGTCAAAGGCAAATAAAAAAAAAACTCCGTAACACACGCCCACCACACCGCGAGTTAAGTTTCGATGCGAATTGAATCCAAAGAGATTAAAACTAATTATCAGCAACTACGTCGCTCCAGCCGCTTCGCTTCTCCAACTGCCCCTCTCGCCCTTGGATCATCGTCGCTGCGTCTTATATTCGACCTCTAAGGCCATAAGCAGAACAAAAATGAAACTCACGTAGGTAAATTGCTTAAGTGTTTCTCTTGAAAAATAAAATAAGTAAGTTGTGCACTGATCAAGTGAACAGGAATCTATGGTTAATAAATTTTATCATTTTGTTGTGAAAAACTAAGACAGAAAACTAGACAGTTACATAATTTATGTCGAGAAGTTTAGGTAACGAACAGCGCTGTGACAGTAACGAAGAATTAGCCAATTTACTAAAAAAAAAACATGACGACACAAGAGGTGATCAATATTATGGAGGCAAATATAAGGTTAGCCCTTGAGGAGCAGGAACAAAGATTCCAAACAGTAATAAGGCAAATGCAAAGCGATTTTGACTGTAAGATAAAGGCAATACAATCTCAAATAAAAAAAAAGAATATTATAGAATATCAAAGGGTGAAAGTTAACCCAGAAATTAAATGCGACGAATCTTTAGATTTGGTCAAATCCTTGCCGGAATTCGACGGCAAACAAAGTGAATACGTTGCCTGGCGAGAAGCAGCAACATCTGCTTATGAAATTTATGAACCTTATATCGATAGTTCAAAACACTATCACGCTGTCTGTATTATCAAAAATAAGATCAGAGGCGCAGCTAGTGCAACACTGTCTTAAATTTCAGAACTATTATAGCTAGAATCGATTTTACGTACGCGGATTAGACACCCGTACACGTTATTCTACAAAAACTTGGTACGCTCAGACAAGGCAAACTTACTCTGTTGGAATACTACGATGAGGTTGAGAAGACATTGACTCTTCTCACCAATAAAACGAACATGACCCATGACAATGCGGCAGCAGTCACTTTAAATAAACAATTCAGGAAAGATGCTCTTCACTCCTTCGTTGCTGGTTTGGAAAAGTCTTTTAAAGCTGTAGTTTTTCCTGCCCAACCTGAAGATTTACCCACAGCTTTAGCGCTAGCTCAGGAAGCTGAGGTTTGCAATGAATATTCGCAGTTCGCTGCAAGTTTCGCAAAAGCAAACGACGAAAAAACACAAAAATCATTTTCGCAACGACATCCGTATTACCAGAATAGCGATAGCAACACAAAGCAGGGAAATTATTCACAAAATAACAATAACAACACGGTAAGTGGCCAACCACAATTTCAAACAAGCCCCCAGCAGAAATCCTTTAGGCAACGGTTCCAGACTCGAGAGAAATATTAGGCACCAGAACCCATGGACATTGATCCATCAATGTCGCGTTTCCGACAACCAGCCAATATCAACAAAAAAACAAACTCCACTCAGAGTCGACAAAACGTCATCTACTCTGCTCAAGAATAAGAAACTTACGATAATGATTATCGGTCCTTGGAAGAGAATAACGGATAACGAGCCAGTTTACTCCAAATTATACCCTTACCCAATGGGTGTAGCCGACTTCGTAAATTCGGAAGTTCAGCAAATTCTCAAAAGGGCCACAGACAATGTATTGAGAGAACAAATAGGGAAAACTTGTGACGTCTACGTTGACGACGTAATAATTTTCTCTGAAAATAAAGAGGATCACGTCAA